GCCTCGAAGCGGGGCTGAGGTTAACGCGGCCATGTTTGTTGGTGGCACCTGGCTTGGAAGAGATGAGGTAGAGGCACAGCCCCGGAAGCCAGGAAAGGAGCAGTGGCGCAATTCCAGGGGTCCGAGCACACGGCAAGGCTTCACCCCAGAGTCCCAGGCACCTGATCACTGGTTGGACCTCGCCTGGGGGGGAGTGGGTGCATTTTAGTGAAGAAACTCCCTCACCCTAGCCAAGTACCCCGTATGGCTATCAAATTCAAACCCCTAACAGGTGCCAGGCAATGGTTGCCTTAGAGAAAATTTTGGTTACACATCTGGTAAGTGCCTGCTCTGGGATTTCTGACTCCAGGCACCATCCTGGGCTCCCATAGAAAGTGGAGTATACAGCAGAGTGCCCTCCTCAGGAGAACAAATGAGCAAGTGACTTCTCAGAGACCGGAAAATTTATATTACTCTAGTCTAGTGGAGTGCCCAGAGTCACCCAGGTTAGGGCTTTATTAACGTAATCGTTTTAAAAGTGGACTTCCAAGTTAAAAATCATCTTTTGTATGCCTTCAAAATGTGAGAAACATTCAAACCTGTGAAGAATTTTTGTGCGTTTATTTGAGCCAAACTGTCCACAATTGCTGGGAAAGAAAATCTCAATGCATTGAGATAATGCTCTGGAGAATGGCAGCTTTGCACCTTGTTTAATGCATTACAATCGAAAGAGAAGACACAGTGGGTCACATGAAATTCACTGGTGATTGACTGGGGAGGGAGTAAAACAATAGACACATATCTTCTACGGGATAGTTGACAGTCAACAATTAACATGGTAATAACGGTCTCTGCCCCAGGGCAGGGGCATTGGTTGTGCCCTGAGGGGTCTGGAGAAAGGGGAGTTACCCTGACAATCCAAAGGAATGTTATCATAGATGCAAAAGACAATAGATAGGCTTAAAGATTGACTTTTGTCAGGGAAGATTCTAGCCCAGTACATGATTACCTGCCATAAACTGCTTTTAGTTAAAGTTTTTAATTTCAAACCATCCTTAGGTTACTTTAGGTCTCTGGGTTTGACACTTCTCCAAAAAGGGCACACAGATGGACAATAGACACATTAAAACATCATTAATCACCAGAGATGCAAATTAAAACTACACTGAGATATCACCTCATACCTACCAGAATGGCTTCCATCAATAAATCAACAAGTGCTGGGGAGGATGTAGAGAAAAGGGAACCCTAGTGCACTGCTGGTGGGAATGCAGACTGGTGCAGCCACTGTGGAAAACAGTATGAAGTTTCCTCTTAAAACTAAAATGGAATTGCCATTTAACCCAGAGATTGCACTTCTAGGAATATATCCTAAATATCCCAAAATACCAATCAGAAAGAATATATGCACCCCTATGTTCATAACAGTGCTATTTACAACAGCCAAGATCTGAAAACAGCCCAAGTGCCCATCAGTTCGAGTGGATAAAAAGCTGTGGTATATTTACAAAAAGCCACTCACATCATGGAATATTATGCAGCTGTAAAAAAAAAAAAAAAAAAGGATCTCTTACCTTTTGAGACCACATGGATGGATCTAGAGATTATTATGCTAAGCGAAATAAGCCAGTCAGAGAAAGACAAGTATCACATGATCTCATACATGTGTAATCTAATGAACATAATAAACTGATGAACATGTAAGTCCAGAGGCATGGATATGTGGAACAGACTGACAGATCACAGGGGAGGTGGGTGCTGGGAACAAGAAGAGATTAACCAAAGAACATATGCATATAAGCATAGCCCATGGGCCCAGACAATACTGTAGTGAAGGCCAGGGCTGGATGGAGGGGGTAAAGGGGTTAAAATGGGGGATATCTGTAATAGTCAACAACAGAAAAAAATGGCTAGAATCTACAGGCTAGAAATTTGGGACATTTAGAGATGCATGGAATAGATTGCTAAACCAAAGAATCTGGACATAAAGTACTTATTTTAAGGCAAATGAAAAGAACAAACAGAGAACACGGGAGAAGTGTTCTAGGCAGCTTCAATTGAACTGGGCTTCATACTTAATGTGGCTATAGGCAGAGATTAGACGCTTGACACCAATCCATTTCAGCTAATTTTTCCTCTTTATTCTGTAAACATCCAGTAAGAAACTGCATGTGGTTTCTTTTCGTCCTAAATATAAATGCCTTTACTTTTCCCTTCTTTGATTTGTAGAATTTTAGCATCCCTGTTTTTTTAATTTGACATCAGAGAGCAAATTCAAAAGCAGTCTTAGCCAAATCATTATCCTTGTCAGGCCTTTCATTTGCATTATTAAAATATACTTTCAGAAAACCCTCTGAGATAACTAACTTGTGCTGTCACTTAGGTAGTAAGTGGGAGAGGTGAGACCTGACTAAAAACCATTCCTTTTTATCACTACCTTCTCTTTCTAGTGTGTTGGATTAATATATCAAGAACCCATAAGGAAAGATTAGATGAGGCCTTCAAGACAAACATCTATAATAAAAGTGTAATATGCTAATTAGACTTGACGTCCTTCCAGACGAAGCCGGGGCTGCGAGGGGAGCCCGGGTCCCAGGTGCCAAAGGGAAGCTGGTGCCAGCAGCCAGGGTAAGGCAGGCCTACTCTTGCACGAATTTTGTATATCGAGCCTCTAGTCTTGAAATAAGTTGGCATGTACCATAATAATGCTTCTACCACTTAGAATGAGATAGGGGTGTGGTAACTGGGAATCCTCATAAAAATTCTCTAAGACTCTTCCCCTAAAGTTGGCTAAATTTTAATCAAAACCTTTTTAGCTACATTTAATCATGGAAATGCTAGGATCTGTTGGTAAGAATAATGACTCATAAACCATCCCTATGTTCTGTAAGCCAGACTAATGATGTAATTTCTCTTATCCTAAGATATTTTTAAAAAGACAAAGGAGTCCAACTGGTGTGGTTCAGTAGTTGAGCGCCAACCCATGAACCAGGCACAGTTCAGTTCCATGCCCAGGTTGTGGGCTCAATCCCCAGTAGGGGCTGTGCAGGAGTCAGCAGATCAATGATTCTCTCATCACTGTTTATCTCCCTCTCCCTCTAAAATCAATAAAAACATTTTAAAAAAAGACAAAGAAAACTATACTATGCCTTTGCATATAATGAAAACAGTTCAGATACTCTGAATCACCTGCTTGATTATATGGACCTTAATTTGCAGTAAAGATTCTGAATACTCTGAGATTACATGAATGAGGGTCTTAAACCATAATTTTGACACTTAAGTATTAGTATTTTATTTCCATTACTCATATTCATCCTTAAATTTAAAAAGTCTGTTCTAGACTCTAAGGAAGTCTTTTACAATACACTTACCTACTTGTGATGGAGAAACCAACAAGAACCAGCACATAATTTTTCACTTACATAATTTATATCCCATAGGAGACTACTTGGCTTAGCACTCTTCTAAGCTCCAGTGCTATTTCACAGAACCACCTAGGGTTCCACTGACCCACATCTAGCGGTCCCTAAGAAACAGCTACGCTTCCTACCTTGTCTCAGGAATACATGAATGTTTGTAGATTTTCTCAGCTCTAAAAAGTGTTTACCAAAATCTGCATTTTGCTTTATTTGGTAGTAAAGGAAGAGGATAATAAGATTTGACGTAACCAAAATTGCATGAAGACTAAAGAATGACGTCACCATTCGGTTTTGCAACGTAGTTTCCAGAAATCAACGGAGATAAAAAGCAGAAAATAACTTTTAAAATTTTACTAACTCCTAAAAACCTGAAAGTTGGATTTAACAGTTTATTATGAGTTAAGTATCATTTTAAAAACACTGATCCATTAAATCATGTAGAAATAAGTATGCAAAAGTTTGCAAAACAAAACATACTTTAAACATGTTTAAGTATAGAGATTATCTGCAATTCCAGATTTTCAGTCACTTCATTATGCTATGGCAGCCAAGTAATCCTTAACTTCAGTTGGAGTAAGCCTCCTAAATCCAGCTTCATTGCAGATTCCAACTTCTATGTTATCTTCTGTCATCTGCCCTTCAAAGCTTTCCTATTGATGAGGCAGGAAAAAAGGTCAATTTTCCAAACAGTTAATTATAAAATCATTATAAACCCAACTGTTAGATATTGAACTAACCTTTAGGGTTAATATGGCTGTATGAATGGCATCTTCAAGTTCTAGATCTTCATTATATCTAAAGAGTTTTTCGAGAAAAAACAATTATGGCACAATTTATAGTATAATAATTATTTAAACACAATGATAGCAACAACTTAAGACTTTTAAAAAATTTTAAACACTCTTAAAAATACTAAGTTACAAATTAATCCTTTTAGTCACCTAATTGAGATAGTTGTCCAATAAGAAACTGACAATAATTTAAGGTGCATTCCCAATATCATGAATATAGCCCCAATATGAGTTTATTTTAGGAAACTTCTTTAAGTATAAGTAGTTCAATATAATCAGAATGTGGTGGCATTATAATAATTCTTAAAAATAAAGCAGAAAATACAGACTTTTGCTAAAATTTCTTGTTCTTTTAAGTTATAACTCCATGTGAAATGTTTTGAAGACTTATTAATAAAATGAGTAAAAGAAAAGAGAAGTGATTTAAGATCCTAAATTATTTAAGTTTAACAATACCAGGTCTAATCTTAGCAAAGTTCATCTGTTAGTT